ACGTCCCGAAAATCGTTGAATTGAATTCGTCTAATGAACGGCGGAATATTATTATTCGAAAACGCCGCACGTTTCGGTCGTACATATACACACTGCAGATAGGTTATACCTATAATATGTATTCTAATTGGATTGGACAAATTCAATGACGAGACGAAAATTAAAAAAAAAAAAATCACAAATTTAATAACTCTCCGCAGACGAGAATATAATATAGAGACGATTGCCCGGAGACTTTATGGGTTGTATGATTTATATTCTCAAGTGCGCTGTTAATAGCTTTTATTTTTTAGCGGTGCCCACGACGTTTTAATAAATTATTTAATAATTTTGTTGGTAACGAACGCAACCTTATCGGATGTGAACATCATATTCGCGTATTTAACGCGAAAGACAAGCGTATACTCGAGGTGCACTTACGATCTGCAGTCGTATGAGTGCGGTAACAAGAGACGGCCAGGATGAGTCGATAATCTCTGAGAGATATGTACTCCGACGTATTCGTGGTACTGTAGCAGTATAAAATGGAAAATATCGAACTAGAACAGACGAGGGAGTTACACGCAATCGTAACAAAAGCTTAATATTAAAGCATTAATCAAGAGTAAAAAGTGAAGTGGAGAGGAAAGCGTCATATACAAACCGACTACGACGAGAAAAATCAAAGAGAGAAGACCTAAAAAATACCCCAGACTTCGGGTAAAAATGGACGAACCTGATCTGGAAAAGTGTGCACCGAGAACGAGGATATAGAAAATAGTGAAAATAGGAGTAGATGGTGTAAAATAGTGTGAGCAGCGAAGACTCTTAATGAGCAATAATGGTTACTGCAGAAAAAGATAAAGACATTTAACACGACCGATTATTGTTATAAATAGAAAAATACAACAACTCGAGCTGAAACAACGTACTGTAGTCCAAAACAGTGAGTTTTGACCTTGGTGACTCGACCCCATATGGAGTCACCAACTAAATATTTAGAGTCACCAACAAAACGTCTATTGTGTAGTCCGATTACATAAGTACATATCTAGAAAATAGGAGCGAAATTTATGGTAGAAAAGTTGTTTACAGAAAAAAAAAAAATAAACAAAAATTTTTGTAAAACCGCTCAGAATCTAAAATATCGATCTAATAGTTCCCGTTTGAATATATTTTAAAAGACTATACGCGGTTGCACTACGTGCATACGCGTTTACGGAAATAGTTTCTAAATTAATAAAAATATATTGTATGCATTATGTTTTTTAAGGTTACTATCAGCGTGCACATTTGCATCGATTTCCCGATAATTGAGATTATTGAATAATAATGTATGTAGGTGGGCGGGCGGATAGGTGGACACAGTGTGCACGCGCGCACTTTGGTTTTTGCACGTTTCGATTACTTATCGAACGTACCGCATTGTAACATAGTATAACGTATAATTATCGTACAGTTTAGCATTTTATAATATTATATATGCTGTGATGTAAGGCAAACAGTTTTTAATATCAGTGGTTATTGTAAATAATTCATAGTGTTTCATAACCCGCGGAATAAAATGTAAATTTCAAAAGCGCAGGATAATTTTTTTTTTTTTTTTTTTTTGTTTTTTAGTTATAATAGCGCGTACCCGTGCATACTTTTGTTTAATGCGAAATTACATATTACGTATCGCGACGCGTGTATAATTAGCACTAGCCCTATATTTATAATGTAGTATATTATGTTAGGTACATATTGTTTAACCTGCGTATAGTTTTCCAAAGGTACGATGACGCATCGTTATTCGTTGGCCGTCAAAATGTGTATAAACGAATTTTAAGTCGATAATTTAACGGGCACGCCAATCCGTGACGGTATACAAGAACAAATATGGGTCGTCGATATTCCGAAAGTGCAAGTCCAAGGTGACGCGATTACGTCGAACTTAATAGATTATTGTGGTTTTGTTTTTTTTTTTTTTTCTGTTCTCTTAATACATAATCATTATTAATCAGCCGATGGCGTCATTCCGATATATTCCGGCGCACAGACAGACAGGCGCAAAACTCACCGAATTTGCCGGTCGACACGGAAAGGATAATATAAAAAATTTTAAGTAACATGGAATTTTAGGTGCCTGTAGATTATATTATAGGTTAGACATGTGTCTATACATTTTTGTGACATTTAAATTTTACGTTACATTTTTAAAGTTAAAAATCGTCGCTGAAATTCAGTCGACGAATAGAAAAACCGATCGCGGATTAGGTACGTCTTGTGCGCGTATTCGAACAATAGTTACCGTATTACGAAATATCCCCCCCCCCCCGAAAGCTATAGAAATCCGCAAAAAATAAAAGATGACTTTAGAAAAGACTAAATGTAAAATTAAACTGGAGCAAATTTCCAAGTTCAAGACGCCACCCCGTCCCAAATGACGCACCCGACCCGTAAGAAATACTGACGCGTACCCAATTATACTGATCAGCAGTCTCCATGTTAAATGACCAGTATTGATCTCAAATAAAAACTGACTGATCTTATTTATCGATTATTTATTTTACCTTATTATACTTTGACTACGAGGACCGTCGATGCATCGCACCGACGGGACGCTACATTAATATAATATTCTCTTAAGTGCAGGCGATAGCTAATAAAAGCGATCGAAAAAGAAATAACGCGTGTCCGTTACAGAACATGGTGCGGGGGAGATGGAGGGGGGAAGGCAAATGTCTATATAAAAATATTATGTTACGATATCGAAATAGTTCCTGACAACGAAAATGTCACGTCGGACCCGGTATATCGGTATTATTATTATACCTGTATAATAATAGTGACAGCTATTATTGGCAAGCGGCAGCTGTCGGCGTTTTAATCGATTTTTAAACAGTTTACAATATTTTTAATCCCGGCAATATCGAGTGTCAGAAAATACGAGCGCGCGCGTTTTTGTCGATTAGTCTTACACGAGCCTTACGAAAACGAATTTTCGGAAGAAAAAAAAAATTAGGCGGGTATATATATACATGTTATAACGCGAAATATAATAATAATAATATAATACTATATATATTTTTTTTTTATTACGGTGCTCTATTTGCTAGATTTATTTTTGTCCGGCGTAACATTGTGCAAGTCACTATCGTCACGCGCCTTTAGCCGGGACCACGCGGATACTCGCGCGCGGCACGGCCGCCGAAAAGAAACGTTACACTCAATATTAGATAGGTATTATGGGTATCGTTAATAGTATATCTATATCTACGCGTCATGTACGTATAAATTGCGTTTCCTCGTTGGCGTAAAATAATCATAAAAAATAAAAAAAAAAATAGCGGAAAAAAAAAACGAAAACGAGTCTGCCAAAATGTACCTATTTTTGCGGAAAGAAAGAAAGAACCGACAAAAAAACACCGCGCCACTACGCTAAACGATTTTGCGATATGTACTGTCAGTAATTAAAAACACAGTGAAAACCGCTCGCATAATATTATACGTATATACCTGTATAAATAATCCGCCCGTTACCCCAAATAGAAAGCAAACGTTCTTTTTTTTTAATTATTGTACAAATAAATCCGCGTTTGCGAGTATACGTAGTTTGTGTAAATAATTAACGGAAAAAAAAAAACGAAAAAAAAAAACGACGTCTCTGTACTCGCGGGTACTCTCGGAGCGGAACACGCCTTAAAACCGTCGCGCGGAACTATACCGACGAGTGATGTGTAAAAGAAACGCAAATAACGTAACCGCGTACTGTTTATAGAGCTAAGAGATCCCGACTGAGAATTAGAAAAAAAAAAGGAAAAAAAAACAGTAAAGAAAAACCACTCTCGTCGGAGATTCGAAACGTTTAAGATGTGTTGTTTTGGCGCGTTATCGTGGTGTCGTTATACCTATTCCGCGAAACGTATCACTCGTTTCCCCTCGCCGCTTGTCCAACAGTTTTTTTCCCCTCGATCATTGTCAACCGATTTCAAATGAGAAAAAAAAAATTTCAATTGCCGTATTTTTTTTCGTTGTGTATACATTCGAATAACGTTACAGCGACAAACAATACAATCGGTTGAGAAAACTGTCGGTGTGTTTTGTTTTTTATACACTATTAACACTTGTCATTAGCCGGCGATAAAAAAAAAAGAACAAAAAATAAAATTCGTTCGAGTGGTCTTCACTGCAGTGCAGCATTTTCCTATTTTGCTGACAGGCAACGCAGCGAAAATGAGTTCACGTAAAACGAACGAAAATGCCTCATCCTTTGCAAAATATTTATAATTTTTTTTTATCTTTGAAGCCGATTGAAATAATTTTTACTAGGTCGTGTAGAATAATTTTTTTTTTTTTTTTATCAACGAGATCGACGACGGTGGCGCGCGTACGAGACCGTATATCATTTCAATTTACAACATGTTCGCAGAGCGGTAAAATGTCAAACGTGAACTTGAATTTGTAAGTTTGATATTTCAACGGTACGAGTCGATGTGACTCGCACGCGGGAATTCGCGAATCACCGATGTGTGTGATCTGTATAGTACTGCGCACGGTGACTTGCTTTTCGCATTGAACAAGTACACGGTATTTTTTTTTCCAAAATTCGACCGAAAAAAATAAATATAAATAAAAGCGTACTATTGATTTTCGAGAAAACGCGCGGCATTTCAATCGTTCGTGACGGACGCAATTTCTCGTCGTGTCTACCGATATTTCCGAAAGTATGTTTTCATATTCGGCAACGAGGGTGTCGCGGTCTCGATAAATCTCGCCTATCGGAACACCGTCATCGAAACGCAGCACGACGTGCACCGTAAAAATATACCTCGATTTCGTGCCGAACAAAATAAAAGTATGCATGCGAATGTCAACAATCCTGACGATTAATACAAAATATCCATATTTATTCCATTTCTTGACCAAATGATATTATTTGGACATAAGCGCACGATTCGGTAAAAGGTTAAGAGAAATTATTCCATTGCAAGAGTTATGACCATCGCATTTTAATAAATACGATAACGCGACTATTGTAGAGACTGCAAAAATATACGAAAATGTTCTTTCGTTAAATGCAATTGTTACGTTAAAGGCCGAATCATTTATAAGGCGAAATCGATGGGAAAACGATGGACGAAATAGCACTACGAATAAACCTCAAACCACCGCTATTGAGACTTTACCTTACTGTACAGATATTGTGCCTAATATAAAATTACTATTACAAATGTTTACAACTCTTCCCGTTGTAACAGCTACGCCGGAACGCACATTTCCACCTTAAAACGACTGAAAACATGCCCAAGGCAATGAGTGAAAATAGATTAAACGGATTAGCTTAGGTAAACATAAACAAAAAAGAGGTCATTTCAGAAAGTGAAATCGTTGAGGATTTTGCGAAAAGAAAAAAAGCATCGAGAAGACCGCGACTCGCAGATTGGTCAAAACGATTCTATACAATTGTTACTATATTACACACTTGTATAATTTTTTTTTCTCCGTTTTTATTATAAAATTCCTACCTATTCATTATTATGTATAAATATGTATTGACTTTACGACCGTCTAAAAATGGAAATAAATGGTTTGCATTAAAAACATTAAATAGTTGGAGGATTTTTTTTTTTTTTTTTAATGCATTTGGTAAAATTTTAGATAGTATTCGCCCCCCTCCTAAAAAAAATTCTGTACACGCCACTGTGTGCACGCACGCGACGGACGAAAGGTTCGCAACAGTGCCTGCGGGGGAAAAAAAAAAAATCAAACACTATTGACGTAATATGGGGAAAACAAATTGTTACACTCCGAATTCCCGTATACGGGATAAACGTCCGCAGGCCGCACGCGCGCTCCTCGCGTACGTAAAGGAAAACGGATTGCTCAACGACACCGTAATGACGTTATAATAACACGGTATAATACGAAATTTTTAAAACAAAAAAAAAAAAAAAATCTCGTCAATTCGAGCGCGTAAACATTAATATGACGAAATTGTAACAACCAAAGGTATACGAAAAAATAAAATCAATTCTTACGGTTTTGAAATTTTTCCAGTATAACGGGCGTTAAAACGCGCGTTGCGTGTAACGTTGAGTACCGCGAAAGTGTTGTCGGCCGTCCGCGGATTTCGGCGGCTGGCCGAATAACATTTCAACGTCACGCGACATACGGTGTCACAACATTGTTGTTCGCCACGGCGTTAACAGCGAGTGTAACTAACGGAAAAGCCGAAAGTTCTGTTGCGACAGTCGCTTTTTTCCGATAACTTTTAACTTGCCGAAAGTTTACCGTCGGCAGAACCGGATAGCGACTACTGTGCACAATCGACGAACACGAAGGTTTTTAGAACGTTTAAGCCGTTATAGCGGTTGGTTTTTTTTTTTTGAAATTTTTTCGACACAAGCGTCTTAAAGTGTACCCGGGGGGCAGTGGGGAAGGGGGGAAAAACCGACGTCCCTCCCCGTTGAAACCTTCCGGGGTCGGACGACAAGTTAACGCGGTATGCGACGGCGAAACATCACGAAATCGCAGCAGGCCCGGCCAAACGCGAGTTCGCTGTAATTCGCGCGTTCGCGTGAACGTAATACGCGCCGGTGGCGATCGTATTGTCGCGGGCGTTCCGCGGCTTTCGACTATTTGTCGCGAACGCGATTAAAAAACGTTTCGCCGCGGAACGGCGGAAAACGCCGCGTAAACATTATTGCGCCGTCCGGGCAATCGGCGGTCGGCGTCACGAAAACGCATCGCACGATAAACCAATAACAATGTCGAGTAGTCTTGCGCGCGCAAACACACGGATATTTAACAGTTGAGTTATTATTATTTCCGTTACCTCCGTAAGTTCGTATGTATGTGTGTGCGTGTGTGTGTGTACTCGTAAAGCAATCGAGTGGCATTTAAACGATAATATTCGAATAATTTGTTTCTTGTATTCGGATGCGCGTTTATTGTTAAACAGGCGCGGGCTACGGAAATTATTCGGTAACGGCATTGTATGTCAGGCGATTTTTTTTTCTAATTGTTTTTTCCACGTTATGCGTATCAAATCGAAACGGTCGCGAACATTACGCCACGTCGAAAATCGAACGGATTCCGACTTTGGATTTTCACTTTTACCTATATCCTAATAGCCGATGTGCATACATTCGGAAATATTTATGCGTACTCGAACACGTAGTGTGGAGCCACCGCTCGTATAGTGTGATTTCGGTGATTTGATGAGCCCCAGAACGGGAAAATACAATTTTAAAATATTAATACGAATTTTTCATTCCGCAGCGTTCTCGAGACTTTGAAATTCGAATCGGTCAGCTGACAACGCGTATTTGCGGTTTAGATTCGAATTTTTCCCGGTAACCATACGGATAAAACCAAACGCTAACGGACGAAAATGCTTGAAATGTCCAAGGGTGACGAATTTACGGTATCCCGAAAACGACGATAACGTATTGTGGATCGGGGGCGTGCGAGGATTATTGTAGTACTCGCGAAATACGCGTTCAAAAATGATTTTTGGACTGCCTACGTGTATACCCTCGCACGTAGGTAAACGCAGTTCGCTGTTAGTGTGCGGGTAGGAATCAAACGGACGAAACTCACCTCCTGTCCCTGACGCGTTTCTGGGTGCCGTTGGTGCCCCTGATGGTCCTGTACAGCGACATCATGTTGGCGCGCGTGCGATACGTTCGCGGTACGGTAATGCGCGAACGACGGTACGGTAACCGGCACGGCGGCACGAGACGGTTTTATCGGGACTGCGGGAAAACGGCACGAGACGGTTTTATCGGGACTGCGGGAAAACGGCACGAGACGGTTTTATCGGGACTGCGGGACGACGGCACGAGACGATTTGATCGAGACTGCGAAGACGATGCCGGCGACGGACGGCCGGCCGGACGATTCGCGCGCGTTCGGGCGGTCCTTTCGCTTTCGCGCGGGATCGCGCTGCGGCCTCCCGTAACTCGCGGCGAAAAAATGCGAAATGTCCGAATGCGCGGAACGGAGAGACGGGCGCGGTAACGAACGCGGGCACACCGTATTGTGCTGATATCGTATCGTACTGTCGGGGTACTCGTCGGCTATTGTACGACTGGTACGTCGGCAGCCGCTGTCGGGGATCACTGGCGGAAACGGTCGTTCGTTCGAAAATTACGGTCTGCGGCTGGCAACGGCGGGAATCGCGTGAACGGCAATGACGATGTTGTCGTCGCTGTTCGAAGTGTCGTGTACTACGGTAACGCGATGGCGGAGGCGTCGGCGGCGGACGGTCCGACGTTAATTATAACACTATGACGGCGGCGACGCGGCGACACAGAAAGAGCGTTTTCTCTTTCGCGCGGGCCACACGCGCACCGCGCCACACGCTCGCCCGCCCCCCCACCGACCGTCGGCCGAGC